ATTAATGAAGGCGACAAAGAAATGAATTGTTGGAAACAATTGTTTTCTATCACTATACATTATAATTTCGACCAATAGTAAGCCGGGTACTAAAAAGTTGAACTAATGTGCCCGTCTCATATTTCAAATTTCAAATATAAATTTCCCCTTTTGTTTTTTTTTATTTATTTTTAAAACATTTTCATTAAAATTTATTCACCAAAAATTTTTTAAAAAAAAATATATTAATTAATACAAACCCTTACATTCCTTCACAACTCCAAAAGAATATTATATATTTAGATATATATTATATAAATAAATAAAAATGTCGACTAAGCCGACAGTACTTGTTCTTGGTGGTTTAGGTTTTATTGGTAAAAATTTCATTCAATATTTGGTAGAGAATGAACTTGCTTCCGAAATAAGAGTTGTGGATAAGCTATTGTTGGAAACTGTTCCTTTAAACAAGAAACAAAAAGAAGCATTTGGAAAAGTTGACGTTTATCAAAAAGATTTGGTTGATCCAAGTATGTGTGTTTTAATTACTAAAAAAAAAAAAAAAATCAAAGATGAATTGTTTATTCCTCTAATCATATTAATTATTATATTATTGATCAGATAATATTAAAATCCTATAAAAAATATTTGTGAGGAACGGGAAACTTTAAAAATATACTGAATACATAATTACAATGCGGGTCACACTAACCTATCAAATAAAAATTGATCAAACTTTAAAGCTGGATAGGGAGATATTGAATGCTTGTCTGAAAAAAATAGAGACGATATTTGATTAATTAGTTCTACGATCCATCGTCGAGATAAACACTGGTTTCAGGGTTATTTACTTTAAAAGTCATGTGTTTTTATATATGTTTTTATATGTTACATGTAAAATTTTAAAGTTATCCTAAAATTTTTAAAAGTTAATAAACTCTGGAATTAATAAATATCTCAACGATGGATTGTAGAACTAGTCAATAGCTATCAAATATCAGCTCTATTTTTTCAGATAAGCATTCATATTTCCATATCTAGTTAGTTTAAAGTTATTTGATGTGTTAGAGTGACCATAACCGTATATTTTAGTTTTATAATAATAATAAGAAGAATTTCTCTATATATTTTATACGGAATCTTAACTTGAAAACTGTTTGTAGGGAGCGTTGCACGACAAAATGAGCAGAGAATTCTTCTATCATCGTTTTACACTATTATATTAAAAAAGTCTCTGATATTTGATTACTTGTTCCGATTGCTTTTCGAGAAGGCTTTATAAGATGTCTCGTGTGTGTGTGTGTGTGTGTGTGTGTGTGTGTGTGTGTGTGTGTGTGTGTGTGTGTGTGTGTTTAGATGCATGTATACTGACAGCTCTCATAAAAATATACGTAAAGCATAATTTAAATTCAATTACCGTGCTTTAAAATAATCACGTGACGTACCTATTTGACCGAATATGGGGTTTATTTTAACTTTTATAATGCCTTGTCCATTTAAGTATAAATTCAGTCAAGAATGCAAGATAATTAATTAAAAAAAGGTTAGTTATTTATTAAATAATAAAGTTCAAATTGAGAATTAATTTGGTGATGAAAGTCAAATAATTATTATAATAAAGTGAAGAACATGATTCAAGTAATTAAGGCGATAATGAAGACGGCGGATTAATAATGATTTAGAAAAGAACTATCCAATTAATTCAATTTACAAATATAGCTGCTTTGAAAACTAAACCATCATTTTATACCGGAAATGCAAAATTGATTTTATGTAATAAAAATATGTAAAATTACATTGCTTCGCCAAATAATTCTTTCTAGTAATGTATCTTCTATTTAGAAAGTACTGACTGATATTATAGACAATCTGACCCTTGATGATGAAATTCCTGGTGAAAGACAGTAATAACAAATTTTCTTTGTCTATATTAGAAAATTTTATTAAGAAACGAACAAAGTATAGACTCAAGATCGCAATATACTGCCAACATTTAAGACTTGTTAATAGAGAATGAATACAATGCTCGAAATTCAATCGGCGGAATCGGCGCGTGCTAGCATCAACTGCAGATTATTTCTAAAATCAGACTAGTTTATGTTAAGGCGAAGTTGAATTTCGAAGCGATGTTATTAATCCTGGGCTATATATATACAAGTACTAGATTAGAGTAAAATTAATTTTTTCAAGACAAGGTAAACATCAATAAGTTAAAGTTAATAATTGATGTAGATGTAATGCAAAAAATTACAGGATAAATAAATTTTAATGATTGTTAAAGATGAGATTCCCAGATTTCTTTATTATTATTATTATGAAATGAGTAAATCTAATCAATTATAGAAAAGAATTCCTGGGAAAAAATGGGTGAATGCCGAATTTTTGTGATTCCGAATTAAAAAATTACCCATGATGCCAACAATGGCAAAGAAAAGTTATGATTGCCACCCCCAAATTTCTTTTTCTTTCATATATCAATCAAATCAATCAATTAAAATTTTTGGTGGCGCGTCTTCATCATTTCTAAGCCACATAATTATAACATTGTCATACAAACATAAAATCATGGGTTTTTTAAAATAAAACTTGATCTTTATGGTGTTACAGTTGAAGATTATTAAATTATTTAAATTATTATTCCTTCTTTTTTAGAATTTTTTAGAATCTTTTAGAATACAGCAGGATCGAGATTAAAATGGATTTTGCAGCTAGAAATGCTGTTAATTTAAGTGTATTAAAACGACACGACGAATACATTGTTGAAATTATTGACACTTCTAGTCATGTTGTAGTTTATTTATTTGATCGTGACCAATCTACATGGGTATTTATAAATTACATTTAGAAGTTAGTACGGATTATTTTGTTCTAATATTAGTTAATTAGGACAATTTTTTTTTTAGACAAAGAAAGGTGTAGAAGGAACAATGTTTGTTTTTAAAAGGTTGTTTTTATTATCATCATCATCATCATCCATCATAAATTATATTCTTATGTGAAATTTTCCAATAGATCCATACAACCAGTTTTTGGATTTATAGTGATGAATCGACTTGGCCTTGACAATTTCATGGCACCTCTAGTAGACAATATGGATCTAGAATTTAAAGACGAATATATAATATATCGTACAGATGATGGTATAGTTGAAAGAATTTGATATTTTAAATCTAGTCAGTGATTTTTTTTATTCATTATTAAAAACACAAATAAAAAAAAGTGGCCAATTCTGTGGTAATTAAGTATAATTTGGATGCCAGATGTTATCCATGGAATTTGGATCTTTGAACCAAAAGATCGAGATCGTATAGGAAAATCTATGAAGAAGTACAGATAATTTATTGATTATATGACTATATATATGTGCATGTATGTGTATACACTTATACAATAATTATATTGTTTATTGGTATAATTAATAGATGTCGCGAGTTATCATTGATAATAACGCTCCCACCTCAACTTTCTCTAAATTCTTCTTCCAAGACGACAATTACGACCTCAAAGAATCAAAAAACGTCTGAAAAACAAGTCGACATAATTAACCTTCTACAAAAAGCCGAAATAAAAGAAAACAATGATCATTACATATTAACGAATACACCTTTATATAATACTACTACTTCTAATACTATTGCTAATAATGCTGGATCTTCATCGTCAACAACATCATCCACATTTTCTTATAAGCCAACATCTATTCCAAATGATCGTCATTCGAAAGATTTACTTGAATTATTTAATATTAAAACGCCACCACCACCAAAAAGAAACATAATAGATGATCTTCCACGAAGATATCATACTCCTCCAGCAATAACTGTAAGATATTAAATAAATATGTATTTCTTTATATTTAATTATTTACACTTTACATTTACATTTCATCCACCCACTAATCCACCCATTCATCCATCCAATCGTAAATTAGAATGTATCAACAACACCTCAAAATGTTCTCGATGGAAAACTATTATTAGAGTTACTTCATCAACCTACTACAACGAATCCTCATTCTCGTTCTAATTCAAATTCTCATTCGAATCTCAATCATCAACTACCGCTATCATCATCATCTACTTCTTCATCTGCTTCATCTTCATTGTCAACCACTAATGGTACAACTAAATTATCATCAAACCCAACAACCTCCTCAACTAATACTTATTTCAACTATCAACAACAACGTTCTTTATCTCCACAGAATAATAATTTCTCGTCGGTGCCAGTCAAATCAATGTTATCTTCTTCTTCCATTCAACTCAGAAATGCACCTAGGGCACCCGGACTTTCGTCTGCACCTTCCACCACTGCACAATCACCAGTAAATCATAATAATATTATCAATAATATTAATTATAATCCAGAATCATTACTACTAACCAACGTAAAGAATCCTAATAATTTATCCAGCAATAAAAATGTCATTATTAATGATAGTATTAGTAATAATAATAATAGTAGTAGTAGCAGTAGTAGTAATGATGGATTGAAACGTAATCTAGCTTTAGATATCTCAATTCCAACACTTAACAAATTTATTAATGAATACGATTCAAATGGAATTAATAACATAAGAAAAAGAATTTTGACTAAACAAGAATTTGTGCAACAATATCTTCAATTAATTCAGGTAATATTCATGCATTGTTTTTTATTATAAAATAATGTTTTAATTTAATAATAATCTTTTCTTTCCAATAATGATATTAATTAACTATTAATAATTAGAGAGATCCATCCTTTATGGATATTCTTTATCAAAATTACGTGGTAAAATTTCAAAATACTTGATCTATTCGCAGCAAATAAAAATAAATCTTTATATATAACGATTAGATTAATATAATTACTAGTGTTATTTTTGTTTCTTTAACATTTTACTTTATATAGTAATTATAATTTTATAATAGCAATGATGATAGAGATTAAATTTTTTAAAGAGATTGTTTTTTGTTAATAATTTATACATTTTATATATTTTTGTGCTTTAATCTTAAATCTAAATTTTTCTATTGTTCAGTTTTTTCTAAAAGTTCTAACCCTAATCTCAATCACAAACCCAATGAATAGTTATTATAAATATAAATATGAAAAATGAAATCTATTAATAATTTTGATGAATAAAATATACATGAATTAAAAAAATAAAATAAAATTTAAATCTATCATCTAATAAATGCTCTATTTTTTTTAAAAAAATCAAAAAGTTTTTCTAAAAAAATTTTACTTGCCACCAATAATGATAATAATAACAATGATGATGATATGATTAATGAAATTTTTGTTCAAGTGGTTGAATTATACGTTTAGGAAAGCGAACACTAAATAAATAATCATGTCGTCTATACAAGCAACAATTAATGAATATATTATTATTATTCCTCTTGTTATTATTACGTTATATATAATGATAATTAATATTTTTCCTTACTTTTCAAGAATAATTTCATGTGTCTTCATATCAATTCTAACTGGTAGTTCACGAACCCTATCATCAAACATTACGTGAAATCCACGTTCCGACAATACATCCATTATCATGTCAACTAAATGTTGATCTTCAAATTCATGAGATGTTCTATAAGATATTTGTATATTTATTTATCTTATTATTTTTAAAAGAGAAAGGATTATATGATATTAATATTAGTATTTTACATACGTTCTAATAAGTGCTTGTCCACTAATTGCGTGCCTTTGAACCATTGGTATAACTTGCTTATCAATGAATTTAATTGCCCTTTTAAATAATTCAGCCTCATACTCCTCATAATGTTCTAGACGACTTATTAATTCCTGCCTGGCATGTATACTAATTTTTGTTGCAAGTGGAATGTGTGCAATTGCGTCATATGTTCTATGATCTATAATATATTTATATAAAAATATTTCATATCAGAGGAAATATTAATAAATGAGTGTGTGTATGCTTGTATTATATTGATGCATAAATATAACTGACCTAATTCAAGCGAGCTTTGGTATTCGAATTCCCTCAAGATCACGTGCATCACTTCGTCAATTGTACCAACTGCATTAATCAGATCTAAAGAATCATAATAAAAACCATTGATAATAATGATAAGTTAGAATGTGACATTCTTGATCAATTAAATTATTTTTAAAAAAACTTACGAAATGGAAAGATCTCGCGAAGTCTTAATAATGCGCCATAATGTTTCTTGAAGATTTTATACCGAGAGCGAATCAACTATAATGATAATATTTATAATTATTATGATTGTATTTTAAATCATCTATAATTTAACATCATCATCATTACCACCAAACACTATTATTACTACTACAATAACTTATCTACCTACCAACTCGTCAAAATCAGTTACACGTTCTTCCATCAATTGACCTTCCCCAGTTTGTCTGACTCGTTTATTATTATCACGGGTTTGCTTGCCTCTCAACAATTGTCTAGCGACTGATATATCTTCGTCAACATATAAAACACAAATTCTAAATGTTGGACGACTAAAAAATTTTTACGGAAATTGACAATATTAATCAATGTTATAATAATAATAGGAATGATAATAATAATGTCGATAATTACGGGAATCGATCTCTCAAAGGTGTATCCCAAAATTCACGTCTCAATTCATGCATTTTGTCGTATAATAATTTTAAACATTCCACTTGGATCTCTGTTCGCGGAAATCCATCAATCAAACATCCAACAGACGGATCACATTTAAGGAGTGCACGAAACAAGCTTTCAAGGACTTTTCCATCACCTGTTTATTTATTTATTATTTATTAATGTAAATTTTTTTATTTTTCCAATAAAAAAGAAATAATGAATCACATACTTATCATTTGTCCTTTATTGATTAAATCTAGACAATCTGGCGAACGTAAAAGCTCTGACATGCAAACTGCAGGATTTGTAATGCCACGAGCTTTCAAAATTGAATTTGTGTGTGTTCCCTTTCCACTACCGGGTGCTCCCATCAACCAGATGATTTCTCTTGGAAGGCTAATTTATTGTTGTTGATTAGCATTATTAGAATTATTATATATAAATAACAATTTGAATCATTACCAAATATTTTCACGCCCAAAGGTAGCTTCGACATTCCTCCACGATTGATTAAAAATTAATTTTGCATCTTTAATTTCGCCCATATTGTCACTTTAATTAAAAAAGATTTTTTAATTAATGTACAATAATTAATGTACAAGTATGCAAAACAGTTCGTGTGCAGTAAGTTTGGGGTGGGTTGAACATACCGTTTCATTTTTTCCGTGATATCAGTAATGTGAGTTTCATCTTCAATCTCTGAAGTCATCTCATTTGCCGTTGTATTAGCTTTTTTGCTCGAGTGGTATTGTCGATTTTCTGAGTAATATTCGGGAGATGTGGAGCGAAAATCCTCTGGAGTTTTCTTGTTGATGTTGGTGGTAGTTGTTGATATTGGTTGGTTTAAGTTGTTGAAGTTTGTGATCACAGATCCGCTATAATGACGAGTATAATTAATAGTATTATTATTCTTGATGTTGTTGTCATTGTTGGGAAATAAAGGTTTATACGATGTTGAGTATGATTTAAGAAAAATAGATTTATGGGTGAGAGTATTAATTTTACTATTTGTCGAAATTTCTTTTTTAAAGAAAGTAGGAAGTTGCTTTAAAGATTTGAAGGAACGCATATTGTAAATTTAGTTGTAAATAGTTGATACTAACAAAAAATATAATGGATGGTGATGCGGCTCTTGCTTTACGAAATATTTCACGGACTGCTTTCTCTGATTCACCAACCCATTTACTAAATAACTAAATACAACAATATTATTTTTTTATGATTATATTATTGTTACTATTCACATTGAAATTCACAATAAAATTACCTCGGGACCTTTAACAGCTATGAAATTCAAATTTGCTTCAGTTGCTAATGCTTTTGCCATTAATGTTTTACTACAACCAGGTGGGCCATACATTAATATACCTTTTGGTGGCTTGATACCTAAATTTTTAAATTTCTCCGAATACTTTAATGGCCATTCAATGCTCTCTTTTAGCTTTTGTTTAATTTCATTTTGTCCACCAACATCTTTCCAATAAACTTTTGGTATTTCTAATATTATTTCCCTCATTGCACTTGGTCTAACTTTTAACATCGCATCCTCTAAATCTTTTAATGTAATCTTAATATCATCTTTATCATTTTTGTTGTTGTTGTCCTCGTCATTACCATCAATATTATTCCTAACTCTATTTTTTATAACTTTTAATCCAGCTTCTCTACAAATTGCTGACAAATCCGCCCCAACATAACCATGTAGTTTTGATGAAAATGATTCAATTTCATCAATTGTTAATGAGCTTGGAATATCTTTCAATAAAGTTTGTAATATTAATGATCTTGAATGGGAATTGGGAATTCCTATGGAAAAGGAGAAAAACAATATCCATGTATTGTAAATTGTATATTCTCCAAATATTATATTATATTTTTCAACATAATTTATTAATGACTTACCAATTTCAATTTCTTTGTCGAATCTTCCAGGTCTTCTTAATGCCTCGTCCAACGAATTGGGCCGATTGGTAGAACCAATAACAATCACTTTACCATTTTTATCATCACCTTTGTTTGATATACCATCCATCAATGTAAGCATCATGGCAACCACACGTTTACTTGATTCATTATTAACCTGATAATAATGATAATAATAATAATAATATAAGCAATATGAGTAAGAAGTTTATATGATTGAATTAATAAAGTATTATTGTTTTTGTTATGTATGATTATTATGATTGTCTTAACATTACTTGGTCTCTTTTTGGACATAAAGCATCAATTTCATCTATAAATATTATTGAAGGTGAGTTTTCCAATGCCTTTTCAAAAATACTCTTCAACTTGAAAGTAGATAAATTAATAATTAAATAAACAATTATATTTAAAATTATATTAATAATTCCCAGATTGTTTCCCCAAAATTTAAATTAAATTAAATTCGTCCACCTTTGATTCTGTTTCACCATAATATTTGCTAATAACCTCAGGACCATTTATGAAAATTTTGTATGAATTTGTTTCTGATGCCACTGCATTAAATATCAATGTTTTGCCAGTACCAGATGGTCCATATAAAAGTATTCCTTTTGGTGGATTTAATCCTAAAATTTTAAAGTTTTGTAAATGATTTATAATCTTTTTTCCCCTCTAAACTCCAATTCTAATATTACCAATTAAATTATTTTACCAAATTCTTTAAATAAATTATAATTGTTGAATGCATTTTCGATAATTTCTTTAATAATCTTGATTTCTTTATCCAATCCACCAATTGAATCATATCCAATAATTTTATCAATTTTATCAATATTATTATGATTATTACTATTACTACTTGAATTATTCTATAATATATATATGTGTGTGTTTGTGTGTAAATGGTTTGATTAAATAGACCTTTTCTCTAAATTTTTAATATTTATTTTTGAAAGAAAAACTTAGATATTAAAATTACATTTGATAAAATAGTAAGATTTATTCCTCTTGTGACCTCATAAATTATTTCTTCTTCTTCCTTATAATCATCATTAGGCTCACCAACACTTTCTTTATTACTATTATTTTTGTTAAGTGAAGATGATGATGTAATAATTTCAATTATAATAAATTTTAAATTATTTCCATGATATCGAAATTCTATTAAATTTCCTTTTATTAAATATCTAATATTTACTTTTGATTATTTATAAAAATAACATTAGTAAATAAAATTAATTTGATCATACAAATATATATTAATATATTTACTTAGAATTTCTTTGGTAAATATTGTCAATAATTCGTCAACTTTATTGTTGTTGTTGCTGTTTGTGATGTTATTTAATATTATTTTATTTGATTTATGAATTTTATTGTAATCAATCTTTTTGATTATTGCAATTTCTCCATTTTTAAGATTTGTATTTAATAATTGTAATTTATTTAACTGCAAATCTAAATAACAATAGTTATTGTTAATAATAATATTATTATTATTGTTATTTGGAAAAAAATTAATTATAATTAGGTACTTGCTTGATTTTGCTAGTTTAAATGACGGCCATGCAATTCCTACTAGAAACTAATTAATTAATTAATTATAAATTTAATTTAATTGTCCTTCTTTTTATATTCTTTTTCTTACCTTTTTCCCCTCTTCACTATTCTTAATTAATATATTTTCACCCGTGAAAATTTTATTTTCTCTCATAGTCTCAACATTTATATATATTCTTTTATTTGTAACATTATAATTGTAATTATAATTGATTTCTTTTTCTTCCTGAACGATCAATTTAATCAATTTTTGATTGTTAATCATGATTTTTTTTTTCGAAAGAAAATTCAAAAAAAAAAATGCACAAATAGTTGCTTTTTTGGTAATTCTCACAACATACGGCGCAGATAATCTATTACTATTATTATTATTATACACAATAGTCGGACACAGCAATCAGTTGTTTAAAGTACAAACAAATAAATGACCGACCGGCTTATATGGTCAGCTAAAACAAGAAATTTCTATTGTTGATGACTCGCACTTTAAAACTTATCGGCTAGCTTTTTCTTAAACTATCAATTGACCGAGCTTTGAAAAATTCCAAAATGGAATGTTCAAAAATTGTA